GAATAGTTTTAAGCTTAGCATAGCTTTATTACTTGCGACAAATAAGGAGACATGGAGATTATTCTCAAAACAATGAACAAAGGATTCTGGGAGTTTGTAGACTACAGTGAATCTGAAAAACTTTCAACCTTTCTGGTTGTTACCACTTTCAGGAAACAAAGTCAGTAAATTTCCTGAAGTTTTTGTTTTTTTCATTTAAATTAGAGTCTTTCCCTGGCCCCTGTCTGTTCCACCAGAATACATTATAATCCATCCCTATGTTCTGCTTCTCAAATAACACAATGCAACAAATAACTGCTTCTTAGTGGAAAAAGTTCAGTTGCCGCTGAGTTAGTTCTGACTCAGGACATTCCACTGTGTCAGGACAGCAGCGTGTACCCGGGGCTCTCCATGGCGGACCTTTGGGAAGGAGACAGGCCATTCTTCCACCTCTGGGTGAACTGAAATCTTTTAGTTAGGAGATGGGTTTCCACTACCCAGGCACTCCTTTTTTAGTGGATTAAACCTTACATAACTTTCAAACCTTATTGTAGAATTATGATAGATTAGAAGCTTTTTCTTTGAAAGCATCTGAAAATCTATCATTGATAATTCACCAGTAATTTTTATTGTTAGATTTTGCACAATTCTACTTCATCATTTTAAATTTATCAAATAATTAATGATCAGATATAAAATCTAAAAAGCAGTGATCTGTATTTGGAAAGAACCAGCAATGAATTTAGAAAAACTCTGAGCTGTCGATTCCGTTCTAAAGAATCATTTAAAAGCAAGACAAAACCTGTATCTTGATTACTCACAACATCAGCTGAAAATACTGTTTCTAGTTTTTTTCTGGAATTATGAATTCCCAGCACCTTATTCACTGACTGTAGCATGTTTTCAGTACATAGATACATGCATTTCTGCCTGGCTGCTCTAACAACGTTGAGCTACTACATTGAAAGCATTATCATTTGGGGTGGGACACTCATAGAAATCCCTAGTTCATGTCCCCTCTTGTGCTGCTCCTCTACAGTATGCCACAAGAGAACCTTTTCTTTCCCAAACAGCCATTATGGTTGACAACATTCCTTTCGGAGGCTCCCTGCACATCCTACCACATTTACACGTTCATTGTTTCTGAACACCAGGTACAAGCTGTTACTTACCGGTCCTCAACAGCTGTAGCGCCGAGCAGAATCAGGTCGGTCTCTATTTGCTCATAGGCGTCTGCTAGCTTTTTTTCTCGATCCTGAAGTGCCACTTTCGCAGCCTGCAGCAGTTTACGAACGCCTTCGTATTCTTCTGGAATCAGTCTTTTATAGGCAACACACAAAGTACGAAGTCCTTCCTATAGAATAAATAGGAACATTTACTGCTGAGATACGACTTTTAGTTGCATCTCAATATCCTATCTCTCTAAATAGAAAGATTAATCAAAGAATTAAAAACCAGTCAACCCTCATGTGAGTTAGTCATTTACAACTGAATTATTTATAAAACTATAAGGAGCTC